ATGGCATTTCAAAGTTATTGCTTTATGCTCACAGAGTAGGACAGTGTGACCGCTATGTTATTTGGGAGTAGTTCGTTAGGTCAGGAAGCCACGTTTTCACGTTTCGCAGGAACATTTTTCGCTGCGGTAACTCCAGGTCCATTCGCGTCAGCGATCGGCGTGAAATTTCCCCCGCTGTTAAGCGCAAAAAAGTCGCTTCCTGTCCTTGCGAAGCACACCCTGTCTTCGGCGGTATTGCTATAACGGGACAGCTTTCACTAGCTACCAGATGAAATCTTGTGTCGAATCCCGCCTGTATCGAACTTTCCTGTGCCCTACCGAGGCGGTTAATTGGTGCCCTTTTGCGGGTGCATAGAAATAACGTGGATATATCCTGGAATCTTGTGATGCTTCCGTAGATCGCGAAGTAGAAGAAATATCGCCCAATTAAGGCTCTCAGCAATTACTGGTATATGTGACTCATCGTAGGTGGCTAATCAACATTTACGAATTTATTTCTTTTATTTTAGCCAGTCCACGGTCGATCTGATGGAGCTTCTTTTTTCCACGTTGAATGATGCGGTCACTACTGACAACGAGGTAAAATCTAATAATAATTTCTGGTTCAGATTGTTCTACAATGACTTTCTTGCTTAGAAATTGAGTGCTCGCCTCACGTTGACTGCGCGTAATGTGGTCCAGTTGTTTGAGTTAACAGCCCCGCGACATCATGGAACAGCGATTTCATCGATGCCACAAATGGCTGGTTAGTGTGTAGTAGTTCACAAAACGGTAATTTTGTGTAATGTTTGTTTTTTTAGCAATATTCTATAACAATTGCTACTACATTTGCCACCGTCTGATGTTGATGCCGTTCAGCGTTTTAAAAGGAGTTAACAAACAGTCTGAAAAGGTGGGTATCCTTCCTTCTTTTTTCTTAGTAGCGTCATTTTCTATTCTCAGTTCCTTTTTTCATATTGCTTTAAGCATCTTCTACCTTTGTTTTGTCTGAGTCAATGCCCCATGCGACTGCATAGGGGATGATAATCAAGTAATGCGATTTTTATGGTTTCCACGCCGTTTTCAAACAACAAAAATCAATCTCATAGTTTGGTTATGGGAGGTTATACTCTTGATTTTGGGTTGCTCTTTGTCAGTAACTATGAACTTTCACTTTGGATTGAGTGGTTGTTGTAATGCTTAGCTGCGTTTATACTTCTTGAACTTACAATCGCCATTTGAGCTTTGTGAGGACCTGACTTGGCTTCCGTCAGGTATAGACCCAACTCTAACAGTTCACTCTATGAAAGAAACAAGATTAGTTTCAGTATGCCAATTTCCGTCCGATTCTGACAGATTCACTCTGGAAACTACGAGAAATAGCAGCTGATATGTTGGAGCAGGTAACGATGACTTTCGAAGGGATTTTAAAAGGGGTCTCACATTTTGTGTTCAGACGATTCGACAATGTCGACGGGACATCAGTGTGATGTTGGCAAAAGATGATTGTAAGTTGTTTTTCATGATTTTCTATTTTTATTTGCAGTGTGGGAAAGGTAGCATGCTGCAATGGCTTGCTCCTAGCCAAACAAAGAACCAATGAAATATAGTGTTACTGTTAAATAGACCATTCTGTCTTATTGAGTGTGAAAGAGGAAAGGAAATGTGGCAGAAAACCGTGCAGCTGTAGCCTATGGGCGTCGAGCATGCTGCAATG